GCAGAAATCAGGACATCTGTGACTAGACACATAGTCATGTTGCTGGGTTCCTGTGACTTAAAGAAGTCTTAATGACTGTTCAGCTGGTGGACTCTGGATAATTGCCATTTGTAAGGGAAATCCTCTGTTGCTGTGCAGTTGCTGTCACGTAATCCTACACATCATTTCTTACAGTTTAATTGTCTGTGAGGATTTCTGGCCTTTCTATGATCTCTGTCTGCCTCTTTGCCCCTAGAGGCATTCTTCCGTCTCCAGAGACAGGCGGTAGGGATCTGCACAAAGGTGCAATCTTCTGTGGTTTAGACTGTGGAGAAAGAAAATCCACTGGGTTGTATAAGAACTTCCCACAACAGAGATGAAAGTCCGTCTGATGGAGAAGATAACCTACAAATTATACTCTACTTTTTTTTATCAAGATATCTGCTCTTAGTAGCACACCTGGCTCGTTTTTAGCATAGAACTGATGCCCCTAGTAAAAACTAGGAAAGCTGCAATTTTCAACTGTCTCATCAGCCAAGTGATCTTCAGATGTAGAGTCCTGCGTCCTATGTTTGCTAATATTTAAATATCTGTAGTACTTTAAAACAAGTGTATGAAAACTTGGGCCTGAGTTAATTCCTCCTAATTTTAGGTGACTAGTCTGAATCAGTCTTCCGATCTTCTACAGTCAATAAAAAGAAGCCAACAGGCAAAATGACCCCCCATCCTAAATGCCTAATAAGCTCATCAGATTTAGATGAATTAAGTTCAGGCCTGTCTGTCTTTTAGTGCCCAAACTTGCACAAAGAAAGTTTCACTGGCAAGTTAATGACATGTCAATGTTAACTTAAATAATAGATTTCTCTATTTGGGCACTATTTCCAGTTAATCACCTGGAAAAGAGTAACTAGTGCCTTGACCTGAAAAGAACTATATGATTTACACTTTTTGCTTGCTGAAAATTTAACTGATTTTTCTAAGCTAAAATAAAATTAAATTTCTCTCCAGTCCCATAGTCATCAAATTACTATTTTCATTTAGAAACTGACAACAAAAATCAGGGTTAGTGTGGGAAGAGGGGTTCTTAGCCCTGCTGAAATCAGTGCCCAAATACTTAAACACCTATTAACTTCAGTGGCACTAGCTCTTCCTTCCTAGTAGGCAGTCTGCTTGATGCTTAAGAGTAAAAATATTGGTTTCACCTCGTTCAAGGCTTCACGGGTTAGAATGAAAATTCTAATGTGTAAATTCCAATAGAACCACTCTGGATTTATACTAACATTGGAATCAGGATCTTTCAATCAGGATCTTTCCATCACTGTTTCTACTGACCTGAGTTTTGCATAATTATTATAGGCTAATTCTGAATTCATAGCACTGAAATACTCTCTGACCCAAGAGCAATGAAGGCCCCATAATCCAGGCCACAGAAGAAACAACCAGCGAATAGACTGACCTTTCCTAGGAAGTTCATAAAATACAATTTTGAAAATACGTGAGAGGTAAATAAGCAGACAAATGGGAGCAAGAAAAGACAAAAATAACAGCAAAATAAGTGTGACCACAAAAGCAAGAGCTCTGCTGGCCTCCAATGGATCTTGATGCTACAACGCGACCTTTGGCCTTACAATGAACTTCATCTGTATTAGGATTCTGCATAGCTGCCCATGACCTTCTGACTTTGTTCCATGAAAAAAAAAAAAGCGATAAAATGTTCAGTTCATTGACTTCATGAAATCACTAGCATTTCTTCCTTTTCAGGTAAAACCTTAGGCTAAAACCAATTTGGAAAAAATTGAGATAAAATGAGGGCTATAAAAATAAATTATACAAGATTTGTCTGGAGAAGAAAATGTACTCATGCGCAAAACCAGTGAGATTTGCAGTCCAAAAAGTTTATTTCCCTGTGAGTTATGATTGAATTAAACTTAGAGGTTTTCTGGAAACATTTGTGGACTAGGTGAACTACAAAAGGAAGAAAACACTTTTCTCTGCCTTTTCAAATCAATACTACATGAAAGGAACACATAACAACAAGCCTGTTCCATGTGTGTCTAAGTTTATACCCACATAAATGTATAATAGGAAACCAGACTTGTAATTTTGAACTGTTCTGGGTTTACTCAACAAAATGGTAAAGAAATTAAAACAGAGGGACTGGGACAGTATATGCCAACCATACGTTATATTGCAGAGGTGATTTAACTTATCTTAAGATTCAAGTTAAGATCTGGAGTTATAGTAGTAGAAGAAAACAAAAGCAGATTGAAGGGGCAACACTCTCAGGTCTATGCATAGCACTTTCATTGATGGAGGAGATCGATTCATCTGTAGGAGAGGAGAGTTTTTCCTTTTTTGTGTTCAGTTTTCAAGATATCAAGGAAAAACTGCCAGCAGAAGAGACATTGTGAACCTGCTATTAAATGCTGTGAATTACATTATTCTAAGCCAGACAAATACAAAGTCAATCAAGCAGTAGTCCAGATACATTGCTTAGGAATGAATCTTACTGTTATTCAGCTAATCTGTCAAATCTTGGGAATGAATGTCAAAAGTTACTATTCCTTCCACTCCCAGCCCCCTTTCCAGGAAATAGTGGCCTGTGTAATAAGGCTAGACATAGACATGTGATAAAAGAAGTTCATAACAAAATTATTAAAAGAGAATTTGAATTATTATTCAAAGAGAATAATATGAGAAAAGGAAATATCCAAGAAATATGAAGCATCCAGACACCTTTGAATAGTCATGGAAGAATATCTGTAACAGAAAATGCAAATGTAAGTATAAAGGCAAGATGTACAGTCAAAATTAAACTTCAGCACCAGCTGAAGGAGGTTTTTCAGGAAATACCCCAAATTATGTGACAAATTCACCGTTTTCACTCCTCAAAGAAACTATTAGTATCTGGTGAAAACTCTGGGACACAACCGATTGTGTACAGGGAACAGAGATCTTGAAGATGTACGGCAAGAAAACTTAGACAGAATAGCAGAAATGGTTTAAAGAATCCTTATGAAAGGAAAAGATTGGAAAAACCTAAGACTGAGTGACCTTTTTCTGTGGTTTAAATGCTTTGCACCCAAGACTAGGGTAACAGCTCCAGGAAGTTCTAACAGGAATGACGACTGAATGAGCACTAACGAACAGTTAAAAAGCAAGAGGTAAATGACTGAAATTAAGAATGGCCAAAAAAATCACTTTAAAAGATTCCTCAGAAAAGCTATTAATAATCACGTATTTCCTAGCTATGCGTAAGCTGATAACATTGATCAGGTTAGACCCAAAGTCACCTATCACTATGATATTCTACCAAGAATAAAAGGAGTGTAAATTAAATTAATAAGGTACAGAAGATGAACTGTCTGTTGACAAGACAGTAATGAAAATTTTCATATCCAAAAAAAGAATCCCAAGGGACCGTGGAGAGATTACGTGACGGTGGTTGATCTACACCCACATTTCTGCAGATGGAAAACATAGAGGAAAAAAAGCAGGGGGGGGGGAGGTCTCTGGGACCTCTGGGATTTAATGTGGAAAATATCATTATCACTACATAAAGGATAATCTTAAACTCTGGCATGTGTCCTCAGTTTCTGCAGGACCTCCAGTTTCTCAGCAAGATTGCGGTTTCTCTCGTCTGGCGTATGTGGAGTGGCACCATCCTGGCATTTCATCTCATCTCTGACTGCAGTCAGGCTGATGGTCTTTTAGCCTCTAGATCAGTAGGGTTGGGAAAACTGTAGCAGTAGGATGTTTGGGAAGGACATTTTCCTTGGATCTTCCACCTGAGAACAGGAAGCCTTTTCCAGAGTGGTGGGCATAGCAGAAAGCACTGTGATGTGACATGTTGCCTCCACCAGGAAAGCTGGCTTAAGGCACCATTATCCCCTCCCTCCCTCCTTCATGGCTGCACACTCCTGTCCCTGTGCCAGGTCAAATGACCTGGGTTAAAAATATTCCTCCATTCCCCCCCCCCCCTCCTGGATAGTGGGTCGTTTGAACCCAAGTCATTTCAGTCATCTGGTTCAGAAAGTGACACCACAAATGGTTATAACTTTACCACTGAGGAGCTGGCACACGGCACTGTGAAGGTGGAAAATGTGGCAAGGAGCAGGGTAACTGCTCCACTTGGCTGCATTGCCAGGGACAAGTCAAGCTAACATGTGAGACCTCTTCAGAAGAAATGGAAGTACAGGTTAGTCTACGTTACAAAGAGATGGAGAAGAAATCAGGAGAATCTCAGGTTTGTCAGGAAACTCCTCTGGGAACAGAAGAAAAAAGTTGTCGTCATGCCCTGAATTTATTATAAGAGTCCACGCCAATTGGCACATTCACCAAATCATCAACACAAATGCGTCTCCTGATCCCACTCATACCCTGATTATTTATGCATTTATTAGTTATATTATGATAATACTGAGGATCCCACATCATGAGCAGGAGCCCTGTTCTATTAGGAGCTATGCAACCACAAGGTGCTACCTAAGGGCTCTCTTATTTTGTTGAATTCCTGGTAATATATACCTAATATATACCTAATAAGCAGGTACAGAAAAGTTAAGCCACCATTGGGACATGCCTCCCGGGAGAGGGTGGAAACTCCATTACTAGAAGTTTATTTAGCCATTAGGTACAGAAAAGTTAAGCCACCACTGGGACATGCCTCCCGGGAGAGGGTGGGAAACTCCATTACTAGAAGTTTATTTAGCAATTTTATACCAGCTGCAAAACTTTGAGCTTCTGGACTTCCGTTAGAAGTTGCCTCCCATTGACCCAAAACAATATCTGATGTATGAAGTTCTTGAATGGCTGAACAACATTCTTCTACATCACCCCTTCATGTAATTAACGGGGAAGTAACTAATGTGACAGTAACTACACCAGCCCAAAGGATTAAGGTAATGTGGGTAAACTATTGGCCCCATGAGCTAAAGGATTTGCATCACAGGGAATGCGAACACTGATGTGATAACACCTGTTAGAATAACCGACCAGCAACTGGTACCAGAGATACTTGCCTTCTTCCCATCAACAGTGTAGAGCTTCTTCACTGGGAATTGCAGGATCTCTGAAATCTCATCCAGGAGCGTTTTGAAACTCCTGGCATTTCTGCGGTTCAAGATAATTGAGCGTCGAAAACCACTTTCTCCATTCTTAACTAGAGTGATTTTCTTGGGTATTCTGGGGCCATGCTGAGTCAAAAGTGTGGAATAATCTTCAAGCTTGCCCTCCTGAGCTGCTCTTCTCAAGGTACTGGAGGGACGACCGTTTCGTGGAGGGCCTGGCCTGTATCCCCCAGAAGTAATGCTAATAGGCTTGACATATTTCTTGTCGGAGCAAAGGTAGCATCCTCCATCCTCCAGCTGGTCCAGCTCACTGATGCAATGTATTCCTCGTGGGGTGGTGATGGTCCGTACCCCAAATGGCAGTGGGACCCGATGAGAGAGGTCATCCATGAGTGCATTGAAGCTCTTGAAGCTTCGCTGGTTGATGGCCATCTTGACTCCTGCAAACTGAGGATCTCCACTCTTGAAGAAGGTTATTTTTTTGGCTGGGGGTATCTTGGTGACAGCGCTTGTCCGAGCCACAGAGGGAAAGGGCTGCTCATAGTTGTAGGAGCTGGTGGTTGACAGGTAGTCAGCAGGCACCTGAGTCATCCCTCTTGCTTAAAGGTAACTACAAGAGAAGCAAAAACAGAGTAGGGTTTGTTGGAGTCATGCAGAATCAGAGCCTGACTAGCATGGGAGCAAAGTTTGTTTTCCTCACAACAGTTTTAACATCTGTGCTTGATCAAGAGCGGATTGTACCAACATGGAGTCCTGAACTCACTGGCTCAGGTAGATACGAGGAAACACAACGGGAAGAGTAGCCATAACCCTGCTCCTCACAGTTAAACCATCCTTGTCCTGCAGATGCCAATGAGAATTCAGTCAGTGTTAGTCGCCCCTGAGGCACAAAAGGCATGAGTCAGACCCCAGGCAAAACCCACAAAAACTGATATTTGTGTATTCTTGTCCTTTTGAGTTTTGTGTCTTCCTTGCTTATATTTTTGAGGTTTTCTCTGAAACGATCAGAGCCAGTGATTACTTCGGTTTTATTTTTACAAGCAGAGAGCTGAGATTCTCATGTAACCCTTTAACCCTGTGAACTGGCGTATAACAAAAAAACAAAACCAAACTGAATTTGTTCATGTAGTGATTGCACGTTGTAGCACACAACCGCTCCTGAGTGTACTGAGGGGCAGAGTAGCCTCATTTCAGAACAGCTGCATGTGGCCATGCCACAGTGTGCTAAGGCAAGAGCTGGATTAAAATCCATGGCAGTTATGCAAACAAATGTGATATTTCTTACCATAAGACCTCAGATAGAACTACAAACGCTGGTTCTGCTAAACAGTGGGAAAATCTGAATTCAGCCTGGTAAGCACAGGTGTGAGGAGAATGATCTGCCCAATTTGTGTTGGAGCACCTCGTGTCCTTCACTTTTAAAGCTAACCGGGCTTTAGTGTTTAAGTCTGGAGGTTGAAACCCATCTTTTGGAATCCAACTGTTTTTAATGTCTTTGCCATGATGGAGACAAGTGGAAAGGAGACTGGACTCTACTCTTTCTTGCTTACCCTTATCAAATGCATTGTCTAAGAAGTCAGTCACTAAAAAATTCAGACCCCACATGGAACGAAACTACTATGCCAAAAAAGAAGATGCTTTTTTTCTGACATGGAAAAAACCCCAAACAACACTATTTACAGCTGCTAAAATACTGGCTGTAATGAGTACGACAAATGTCTATTTCATGAATATGAACAGCGATTCCACAGTTCACTTTGAGTTAGTTACTCAAACTTAAATGGAGACTCTCAAAATGGCATTTAGAGGTGTCATCTTCTGGTCAGAAGTTACTGCTCACGTACAGGCAGCAAACCATTTGAATTGTTAATAAGGAATGCAGTAGCTTGTCCTGTAGCGTGCAGAAGGTGGTTCTGGCTACAAGCACCTACATCCAATTTACTTTCCAAATTATGTTCTTAGTCGATAAGAATGACATAGTCAGTTTTCTACGGCAACTTCAAAAAAAATCTCTCACAAGAAAGAATTTTTTTAGTGTTCACAAATGACTTAGAAAACAATAAATGTATTTCTAATGACATGTTTCCTTCAGTATGCTCCTGGTTACACTTCTTGCAGCAGCTGAATAAAGTTCTAGTTTCAAGACAATAGTCACGCTATTCACAAATTACTCTTTGGAGAACCAGTTCGGTGACCACTGCAATTAGTGGGAATTTTGTCATTGATTGCAGAGCTGCAGCACTCAAAAAACTATAAATGCTGTTTTTCTCCACATTTTAGAATAAAACCATTATTTTCTTACTATGCTACTCTTAAGAGAAATATTTTTGCACTTTGTACTACAGCAAATTCACTCCTGCAATAAATGGAAGTTTAACCTAGGCTGAATGAGAAAAGACATTAGGCACATGTGAAAGATTATTATTTTGAAAAATCTCTGCTTTTATATATCCATGCACACTGACAAAGATTTCAGTATGATTTATTATTTCCATGTACCGAGTTCACCAAGCAATTATTCACTTATTTATTTCCCAGTTAAAGGTCAATCCATCACTCTATCTTCTAGGAGAAAAAAAGTAATCTAATTTCTCTATTTTTCAACAGCTTTCAGAAAGGTGGCTCTAACTTTTTCTCCATGAGTCCCACATTAGAACTTTCAGACACCGGCAGCATAATTTCCAAACAAACAAACTCATTATCCAGACAAATTGTAGTCCCTGGACCAATGGTGGTCCACAATATGCTGGCTGCACTCCCAGAAATCTAACTGCTTCTCAAGGATTTATTCTACTTTTTTCAAGCTGTTAAATCATATTGAAAGAAGTATAAAAAATTAAAATATAGGACAAATCATAACATATTTTCCCAATACTCATTTTCTTTGGGAATAATTTCACAAGACTGTTAAGGGATCACCAGTGTAAAGGAACATTGTCCCTTAAGTTTTGGGTGATAGAGTTGGTTACCCACCCAAGCCTAGATGGTCTGTCAGATCTACTCTTATGAAGCGGTATACAACGTGAAGAAAGAACCTTCCACAAAAATCTTGCATGAAATATAAAGAGTTCCACAGGGAGAAGTTTTGTATTGTCCATTTGAAGTTTCAGAATGGGAAGGGGATTCTACTGAATATCTGGCAAGGCAACAAAAATGGTCATCTTGCCCAAATACGCCTCTTTACAGATACATAACAGAGGAGTCTCAATGCATATTTTTGTACTTACATTGAAATGCTTCATGCCTCTTGCTCAGGATGACTTTTGCGTATAGAATATCCAAGAGATTAAAAATAAATCAACCAAATAATTAAAAAAACCCCCCAACACAGCCAACCAACCACCTCCAGGATCTAATGCAAGGGGCAATGCAGGGAAAAGCATTAGCAGGTTACGTGCTGTCAATCAAACTGTCCTCAAAATGACTGACCACAGCTTGGAGGGTTAATCAGGACTGTGTTGCTAAGGATAGAAAGAAAAGCTACCTAAGCTGCTGCAGAAGGCTCTCAAATCCACGGGGGCTTTAGGCACAGTTTGCTCAATCCTTCTCTTGCTTGCGCCCATGTAACTCAGGTATAAATCTGACTCAGTGACACTCCTCTCAAATGATACCAATATAAGTGAGAATGCACTCAAGGCCAAAGAGGTAATATCTTCCTCTTGCATAAAGGTCGGCGGAGATCTGGATAACTTTCTTGAGCCACCCCACTCATCAACTCATCAACCCACCCACTCATCAACCATATTTGGAATCAGATTTATCTTTTGGGTAACTCCAGGGAAATCAACGGAGCTAGAGTAAAGATGATGACAGCTCTTAAGGATTTGTGTATGTTTGTTACTACTCAGCTGCCTGATAGTCACTTACTCAGGACATAGATGGCTGAGATTCATAAAAATTTTTCAGTGAAATACTATCTTAACAGGAAAGTCTGGTGAGTCCTAACCCAAATCTTTTCAAGTTCATGGCAGCTGACAAAGCCAGATTGGCACACGACAAAGTCAGATTCTCAGATGAATGCTCAACAGCTGGATCACTGGGATTTGGGCATGAAATAAGGACAGACAAGCAGCCCGCCAATGATAAATGATGGGAAATTACTTTTTCTTTCATAATTCACCTATGAGAGCCTTCCTGCTTTCTTTCACACTTCCTTTTTGCAAAGAAAACACACACCCACCCCCAAAAAAATTGATCAGTTGGATTCAGTGGTACAAAATCAGTGGGAAACCTCACTTTTGTACGGACTGGGATTCTTGTTTTCTAGCAATATTTATTCATTACTTACGTAGCCATTGCACCTCTGCACCAATGTCACTTACAGCACTAAGCACCTTCTTTTGTAGAAAGCAATTACTTGCAGAGAGATCAGAGTCATAAAGGGCTTTTATTGGAAAGGCAGGGATTTGGGGATTCTGCCAGAATAGGTTCGTCAAGTTTTACATCTCCGATCCTCAACATGAATCTTCCAAATGTAAGGTTAGTGTTTGAGCCATTACACAGTCATCCTTATACAGCATTGCTTTTCCAGCTTTTCCACCTGTGGACAGCACACCTCTCAGGGTCCACAGACCATTCCTGTGGGATCCTTGATTCAGAACAACAAGGTCATCTCTCTGTAAGCTCGTATCTACTGGAAAATTTGTAGGAGTTTATCCACGGGAAAGACTGAACCCCCCATGGAGGCCACTCTACTCAATCAGGACTGTGTCAGGCAGCCTGCCCCCTGTTTTTCAATTTCCCACCACAAATGTCAAAATGATATCTCAAAAAGACTAAACCATAGCAGACAGGCAAGTCACACACTTCTAAACCCTATGAAACCTCTGCTATCCAACTTCACACAGAGGAAGTTATGTGACCATGTGGTTGGTCATCCATTATGTGATCCCTTAGCCAAAATCCAATACGTCTGCAGCACATTTCTTCACATCAGCCTTCACCTTCTGTCCCTCACACTAGACTTGTTATCTCTGAGGTTTTTTTTGCAGCCTTCTCTCTGTTGGGGACGTAGCAGGAGAGGAATCCAGGTACCACTCTAAAGAGTGCCTGAGCGGAGGCAGAGGAGCTGTCAGAGAAGTTGACTACAGGAGACATCTAGGTACCACTCTAGTGAGTGCCTGAGCTGAGGCAGAGGAGCTGTCAGAGAAGTTGACTCAAAGGATTGAGCACCAAGTCTATAACCTCTATTTGAGAGATGAGAAGGCCTTTATGAGAAGCATCCAGACTTGACTTAAATACTTTAAATTATCAAAGAGTCTTCCCTGTCCAGCAGTAACAGTTCCAATAGTTCATAGAATCATAGAATAGTTTGGGTTGGAAGGGACCTTTAAAGGTCATCTAGTCCAACCCCCTTGCCCTGGGCAGGGACATCTGCAACTAGAGCAGGTTGCTCAGAGCCCCGTCCAGCCTGACCTGGAATGTTTCCAGGGATGGG